TCGAACTCACGGACCGCGAGATCGTGACCTGGTTGAAGTCGGACGCTCAACCGACTGCGCCACCCAGGCGCCCCCTATTCTGTCCCTTTCTAAAGACGCGACGGATTCAGCCACGGTAAGGCAGTTAGTGAACCGTTTACCTGCTCCTGTTGGAGTTTATGGTGACGCAGCCACATTCTGTTATCGAGCACTTTTCGGACAAATGCTATGGACTTGTAAGCTGGCCATTTATTAGCTTTGTAATCTTGGATACTTTAATCTCTCTGTGCCTCAGTTTCCCCATGTGTAAAATGATGATAGCCCTACCTTTCTCACAGAGGGGCCGTGTGAATTAAATGAAAATAAAACACCCCAAGCGTCTCCTACAGGGCCTGACGCAGAAGGGTTTGGCTGTGGCAGTTGTGAGCATTCAGAGCAACAGGGGACCGTGAATAACAGGTTATCCGAGGAGCCTGTCTGATGGCGGAGGCCGGTTTCACTCCAGAGGTGAGTGTGTTCATAAAAGGGCCCTTAGCCCAGTTTGTCCTTCAGGGCAAAGGACCTTTTCAGGGTTTAATCAAAGACATCGAGAAAAGGTGGAAGGGTGTGAACCTTGGTAAAACAGCGAGTATTTTCAAGGAATCCCAAAGTGCCACTTTCACTTAGGAAATCACATGTACATCTTGGTGACACGGAGTGGAAAGATCATCATCACCGTGGCGTCACCAGGGAGATGGGCGGCCGTGTGCCCTAGGGCCCAACCAAGAAAGACAACCAAGGTACAAAGTAGGGCCATCATGTCACCCGCTGCTTTTTTGGAGAACTGTGCCCCCTATCCCCCAGAAAAACTGATCATCTGAGCCCAGGGAGGGCTCGATTCTGGCCCTCCACAGTAAGGGAAAATGGAAGTCAATCCAAACTTCCCAACAAAGTCAACGTTAACTTTGGAATTAGAAGCAAATGAGCTGCTCATCAAGACGGACCATACTGCTGGCACCGGAGTTAATCAATTCAATTCACTGACTAGACAGACTTAGCGCTAAGCCAAACACAAGACAAGAGAACAGACTGGAAAGAAAAACTGCTTCGAGATTCAGGTAACCCAGGTTCTAGTCCTGTTTCTAACATTTACCAACTGCATGACGTCAGTCGATTCTCTTACTTACCAACTCTGCTGGGAAATGGTCACGTGAGCCCAAACCTTATGACCATTACCGTTTGCATCGATGGGATTTTATCATTTTAAAAATCCTCGGGGCGCCTGGGTGGCTCAGTCGGTTAAGCGTCCGACTTCGGCTCAGGTCACGGTCTCACGGTTCTTGAGTTCAAGCCCCACGTCGAGCTCCGTGCAGACAGCTCAGAGCCTGGAGCCTGCTTCGGATTCTGTGTCTTCCTCTCTCTCTGCCCTTCCCCTGCTCTCACTCTGTCTCTCTATCTCAAAAATAAATAAATGTTAAAAAAATTTTTTTTCAAAAATCCTCAAGCTGTCAATGTTATTTTTGTCCCTAACTGGAATCGACCTCTGAATTTGGAAGGGTATGATTCCAGCTCTTAGCTCCCTTCTGTCTGAAATGTAGGAGGTGCACTAGCCCAGCAGTGCTTGATTGAATCTCCTGAAAATACCAACTTCTCAAGCCAAATGTTATTCGGGACACCTTGAATCTGGCACTTCTGGGGCTGGGGACTTGGCATGTGTTTCTTGAAAACTCTGCAAGTGGTTCTGATACATGTTAAGAACCAAAAACAGGATGAACTCTGGAGGCCATCCAGTCCCATCATCCTGTGCGTCTATCCCTCCTTGCCCATAAAATTTCTCAACGGCTCACTTCGCTTCTTCCAAGAACACTGTGGGAGCCATTTCCTTTCATCCACAACACAACGCCCTGAGCGGTCCCTACTTATCATGCAAGGAAAGCGACAAAGAACGATTATGCCACTTAACCAAGGTAAAGGGCTCCTGCTCTGAAAACAAACAACACAGACATGAAATGGTGAACCGCGGCTCTCCTTGGGAACACTGAAAGTGTGCATACAGAAAGAAGGGTGCAGCAGACAGAAGCCTGGGACTCTCACACCTTAGTTCTTCACACATCAATCTTACCTGTTCGCTTTTGAATGAATATTGGTCAAGCACCCATCCACGGCAAAGGGACCCACGCCTCCCCAGTAACCAAACTTGGACAGGCTCTTACATTTGAAAACAAAGAGACTCCCGGTGCTCAGGAACACAAGGAGGCACGTGACCTTGAAATGCTCTAGAGGGGTCATGACTGTAGCAAACTCCACGACTGAGTGACACGTTCAGTCACTCAGGGGCTGCACTCGAAGGCTCTACGGTTGGCTTAAGGCTCCGCTATCACTGTCTTGAAACCGTTAACCCTTTTTTAACATGGGGCCATATTTTCTTTTGCACTGGCCCCCACAAATTACATCGCTGGTCCCAGCCATGGCAGTTGTTCAGAGGAATAGAACACTAAGGATATTTTCCACGACATGAGTTCTCAGCTCTTAGAGCATATATAGCATCAACTGGGTTGCCTGTGGAGAGGCCGATCTCATCATTTGCAGTTTGTAGGACGAACATGTGGTCTCCAGGCTGGCCGCACCGAAAGCCTGTGACCCCGAGGCAGAGAGGTAACGTGACTTCCTGGGACACAGAAGGACAAGCCACCCAGACTTAAGGTCTTGAGCTCCAATCTGGTGCAAATGGGGTCTGTCACGGCAGCAAGCACAGGTCTTAGAAAATGACTCTGGCTGTCACACAGACAACAATCACTGTCTTCTTGGCCAGACTACCTCCAGTTCACGGCATTGGCCAGCATGGCTCTCTCCCTAAAGCCCCACAGCCCTGGAGGGCTAACCGCAGGAACACCTGTGAGTGCCAAGGCGGTTTGCATGAGGGGGTAGAGAGCGGGACGAGAATGCAGAGGCCCAGGTTTGGAGCGGAGGCGAAGGAGACCAAGCCAGCGCTGACTCTGTCCCTCCTTCTCCCCTTAGGAAAGGTCCGAATATGAAACACAGACCCGGAGCCAAATCTGTGAGGTCGAGTCTGGGGAGACGGGCAAGAAGAACGCCCGGTGAACGTGAGAACCAGGCTGCAAGAGGGAGACAGGCCGAAGGTGCAACCCAGCACACGAGAGCAGGAATGAGATGGTCTCGTGCTCCGGGGGAAGGAGGGTTGACATAACACCCTGACGGGGCGGTCTCAGAAGGAAAGCTTTGGGATACACCGCTCCTAGAAGGCGTCCCCCCGGCCCTCACAGTCAGCCACGTGGGAGGGCTCCCTCTCGGTCAGGGCCTGGCCCTGGAGCTGCCCGCCCAAAAGAAGCAAGACAGACTGCCCCAGTGAGAGAGGCTCATCAGTGCAAAGACATTGGGGCTAGAACAAGCTTACTATGTCCCAAGAAGAATGAAGACCAGACAGCGGGGGGAGGGAGAGAGGGGGGCATCTTGGATGCGGGCAGAGGCCAGATGAAACGGAGGCTTGGGTCCCCAGGACATCAGAAACACCTGTCCTCCTACATCTGAAAGACCCGCTCCCAGAGAACCCTTTACCTACCCCATTCACCGGACCACAGAAGCAACAACTGTAAGGGGGCTGTGCACGTTGCCTCGTGGGAAAGTCAAGGGCGAGGCCGCCTCAAGTCATCTGACTCGCCCCGAGAAGCTGTGACCCTCACACCAGAGCCTGCGTCCGCCAGGCCCAGAGCCTGCGTCCGCCAGGCCCTCGCCTCGTCGCCCAATTCCCTCAGCCGTCTAGAGATCGGTGCTGCGTTCCCATTCTGCAGATAAGAGCACTGAGCCTCGAAGAGGCCAAGCTCTAGAGCAAAGCCACCCTGTCTGCCAAGTAGCAGAGTCAAAGCTACAGTCCAAGCAAGTCTGCAGCTACCGAGCTTGCACTCTTGTCTGCCAGGCTACACCGTGACCCTTCCGGCCAGCCTCCGACTTCGAGCCCACACCCGACAGATCCCACTGTCCCTGTCCACTGCTACGGTCCACGCCGCCTCCCCGCGCTGCCGCTGGCCGTCACTGCCCTTCCCCACCCCCGTGCCTTTTCAGACCCGAGAACCTTAAAGCAATGGAAGCATTGTTGGAGTCAGAACCGTGGTTTTCAAGCAGCTTTGAAGCTTACTTTCCTTAGCCCTTTCGCTACCCAAGGTGGGGCGTTAACTCAATACCATTAATGGTGTGGTTTTAGCCTTTACCACCGACCAAACGCACCGTTTATACGTGAACCGATTTGCCTCGGTGAGGGATCTTATCGTTCTCCCCAGTGAGGTCCCAACCTGACTATGCTTCCTGGAGGCTCATGGAAGAAACACTCCTGTCCTCCATACAAGCTGCTATCTGACCAGGTGCCAAGAATCTGGATTAAAGTAGGCACCCGGTGCTGATCCCCACATGTCATGGGTAGGGATGCAGAAACCCCATCCTAAGATCTAATTCCTTGTTCTCAGCACAATAGGCCAGTTTGCTTGGTGCTCTTGTGTCCGAAAGTTTGGCCGCCACAGGCTGAGAGAAAGAGCATAGTTCTTTTTTTTTTTTTATTTTTTAGAAAATTTTGGGGGTTTGTTTTTAATTTTTTTTAATGTCTATTTATTTTTGAGAGAGACAGAGACAGAATGCGAGTGGGTTAGGGGCAGAGAGAGAGGGAGACACAGAAGCCGAAGCAGGCTCCAGGCTCCGAGAGGTCAGCACAGAGCCCGACGTGGGGCTCGAACTCACGAGCTGTGAGATCACGACGGGAGCCGAGGTCGGACGCTCAACCAACCGAGCCACCCAGGCGTCCCCGGATTTGTTTTTAAATGCTTATTTATTTTGGAGAGACAGAGAGAGAACACAAGCAGGGGACAGGCAGAGACAGAGGGGAACAGAGGATCCGAGGCAGACTCCACACTTAGAGCAGAGAGCCCAACGCGGGGCTCGAACCCACAAACCGTGACATCACGACCTGAGCCAAAATCGGACGCTTAACCGACTGAGCCAGCCAGGCGCCCCAAGAGCATAGTTTTTGAGTCCCTGCTCTGCCACGCCCTGGCCAGGAGACAACACCCAAGTCTCTTCCAGGCACTGAACCTTACTTCTCACTGGCAAGTAAGAATTCCAGCTTCCGTCCTTGGACCAGTGGTCTGAGCGACATCATGAGCTAGGCTCCATATGCCTTGGGTCTGAAACTTCTAAAAACTCTCAAAGGTGTTAACGTTATTTTGTCCCCATTTTAAAGATTAAGAAACTGAGTCTCCAAGAGATGATGTAGCTTGCCGAGGGTCACATAGGTAACAGGTAAGTGAGCCAAGTTCTGAGTCAGGGTCGGTTGGCCAACAAAGTCCGACCCCTTCTTAAACTCGTGACCTCCCTTACAGAGCCCCTGCAGATGCCTGTTCCTGGAGAAGCAGAAGCACACCCAAGGAGGAGGGAGAAGAGTCACAGTAAAGGAGCCTGGGTCCGGACCCTGCTTATGTGCGGCCCACCTTCCACAGACGGGCCTGCACTGGCAGTGCTTGTGCCTCGAACACGCAGACGCCCAGGCCTTTAGGGGGCATTCGTCTGCGAGATAGGCCAACAGCCTTCCCCAAACGTGGTCAGGCTCACAGACGGTCCCAAGACTCCGTGCGAGCGAGACGGCAGTCGGAACTTCTGGAGTGCCTGCGTGTGCGGCAGGAGCCCTGCCCGACCGAGAAAACACTCTCCCTCTAGTTGCTCTTAATTTAGAATTCATTATGTCTCTCTTTCCGTGAAAGATAAACCAATAGCTGCCCTTGACAGCTGTTTCCTCCGGGGTCATTCCTTCTATCCGCCCAGCTACTCTTTCTTTGGGGATTTGAGCGATGTAATGTTAGGACTATCAATTTCATTCAGTCCCTCCAAGGTAGTCTACAGGGACTGGGGAGGCAGCCAGGCCGAATGCCCTTAACCATTTGTGCACTGCGCAATCCAGAGAGGGAGGGAACGAAGGACATAGAGAGCAAGGTTCCAAGATAGAACACAAACAGACAAACAAACTTCTAATCCTGAATGTGTGGAAAGTAGACAAGGAAGAATGGGGATTGGAGGCAAACGAACTCAGAGCAAACCCTGTCCGTTACCGGGGCCAGCGGCCAGCTCGCAGTGCCTGCCTCCAAAGAGACGCCGAGCCGTGGAAGCACACAGAGCAGGCACACCCAGCAAATTATCGAGGGAGTCCACTCCCTTGCCCTTCTTAGGTGGCTCACTTTGGCCATTTCATTGTAGAGACACCTCGGAGGAGATCCAGCCTGTGGATGCACGGTGGAAGGGGTTCCTACACCATGGGA